TGTTTTATAAATAAAAAAAATCAAAACCAAGATTTAACTTATTTTTATTTTTTTGTATCATAGCTATAAAGAATAATATTTTTTTCCTAATCACTAAATTCAAGTAAATTAATAACTATTATCAAAAACTGTTTATCATAATTATCTTAACTATGAAATAAAAAATATATAATAATAAATTATTATGAAAAAATATATATATTTCTAAAAAAATTAAAAAGATTAAATATTTATAAATAATTAACGTATTATTAAGATATTAATAAAAAGCGCTTTTTAAAGTTTATTTAAAAATTTATAAATTATCATCATTTTACTAGTCTTTTAAATGGCTTTTATACTTACCAAATTCATAAACTTAATCAAACAATTAATTAATTTAATTTTATAAAATTTCTTAATTTTACTCATAGTCATTTATATCTTATTTATATTAGTCCAATTCTATTAAGATCTAATTATTATAATTTTACAAATTTTGATTTTCTGCTTATAATTAAGATATTTTATCCTACAATTAATTTAATGACTAATAAAATATATATATATATATATATATATATATATATATATATATATAATATTTATATATTATTCATAATATTTATAATATTCGTACATTAGAATCATTTGTAATATTATTTTTATTATTTTATTCCTTTGATGAACACTAATTTTATAATAAAATATGTTCTTATTAAAGTTTCATTTTATCCAGAATAAGTTTTACATTTTCTTAAATGTAAAAATAAGATTAAAATTATTCCAAATATTTTAACTCTTTTTATATTTCGAATTCATCATTTGACATTTTTTCAAGTATTTTATTTAATATTTATAATATTTAAATCTCTTAGTCTGATTTATCTATAAAAATTTCATCTTTTACTTCTTTTATATCATTTTATTTTTCCTAACTGTTATATAAATCATTTTAACTTTTTAATTATTGTATGATTTCTTCTTTTTTTTTAATTAATTTTCGAGAATATACTTTTCTTTTAATATTTTCTCAAAATCTTATTCATTTATTAAATTATTGTCTTCTTTCGAGTTTATTTTTTGTATTTATTTATTTATTTAATTCATTTAAATTTACATTTTTTAATTTTAATAAGAAATTTCTATTTTTTACTGATTTATTTCATTAATTATTTTTTACATATTTTATATATCTTTTTCTTATTATTTTATTTTCCTATCTTTTTCAGTTTCCTCTAAATTATATTCTGTTATATTTTCATCTTTTTATTAATCAATTATTTCATTTTATATTTTTTTTGTAATTATTATAATTATTAAGTTTTCTTATTTAATTATTCATCTTTTTCTTACATTTATTAATCTTATAGTTATATTTATTTAACTTTTTCTTATATTGATTTATCTTTTTCTTATATTTATTTATCTTAATCTTATATTTATTAATCTTTTTCATATATTTATTGTATTTTTTCTTTTATTTATTCATCTTATTAATTAATTTATATATTTTTTTCTTATAGTTATTCATTTATTAGTTTTAATTATTCATCTTTTTCTTATAATTATTAATTCTTGTCTTTAGAATTTTCTATTTATTCCTATATCATTTATATTGATAATTATAATTATTCATTTATTTATTTAATTTCTTATTATTGTTAATAAATATTTTATATATACTATTAAATTTATTATTTTAAAGTTTATATTTCATTTTTTTAATTATTTTAAATATTTTCTTATTTTTATTCATTAATTTAATTATTTTATAAATTAAAATACTCTATTTTTTATTAAAATTAATCTTTTAATTATTAATTTTCCACTTTTAATTATTAATTTTCCACTTTTAATAGTTAATTTTCACTTTCTTATTATTATTATTCGATTTATAATGATTAGGTCTACCCTTCTTAGTATAAATTTTCATTTTTTAATTATTAAATTTGATTTTTTAATTATTATTATTCTTCTTTTAATTGAGAAATAAAAGAATTCAAAGATGTGTTTTTTTCAATTAAATTAATTTATTAATATGAAAGTTATTCATTAATTGTTTATAACTATTATATTTATTAATTTGATTCTTATATTTTTTATTTCAATTATATAATAAAATCTTCTTTTTATATATTATTTTTTTCTAAATCTTACATTTTTTAATAAGTTGTTTAATTTTAATTTATTTTAATAAAAAATTTCTCTTACTAATTAAAAATGGGTTCCTTTTATATTTCGATTTCCTATTTTTAATTATCAACTTAGGTTAATTATTCATTTTCTTTTTATTAAAAAAAAATATTATTTAACTATTTAATTAAATTATCGTTCTCGTTTATTTTGTTTTCGAAAAAAATTACTTTTTCATCTTAAATAGGAGGCTATATTTAATTGTCGTTTTTATAAATTACTTAATTTTTATCATTAAAAAGTTAATTATTATGATTAATTTTTATTTTTAATTCTTATATTTAATTTTATAAAAATTCTAAAGATTATTAACATTCTTTTTCTTTTTATTAAAAGTTCTATTAATATTAATTTTACATTTTTTGATTATCGTCTTATATTTTTTTCATTTATTATTATAAATTATCTATTATTAATTAATAATTATTTGATTTTTCATTTTATGGATAATTTTCTTATATTTTTTCCTATATTTTATGTTTTGTTTTTTTTTTTATTAAAAATATTTGATTTTTTTTTGTTTACTTTTGTAATTATTTATAATTATTAATTAATTTTATTATAAATATTTTTATTTTCTTAATTTTATTAATCTATTTATTAATTTAAACTAATTTTATTTATATAATTATTTATTAAATAAATTATTTATTTATATTTACATTTATATTAATTTTTATTAATTATAATTTTAAGCCTATAAAGAAATTTTATCATTTAAAATTTGTTTAATTTTAACAAGTGCAATATTTTATATTTAATTTTAGCCATCCTAAAAATTTAAGTCAAATAAGATACTAATATTTTTTAGAAAACCATCAATATTTTCTTTATATTTAATATTTTATTCTAATAAATTATTATAATTTAAAACTTTTTCGTTTTTTTTTTTTTTTTTTTAAAAAAAAAAAAATTAATAAAAAATAAATAAAAAAAAATACCTTCATTTTCATCTTTATTTTATTTTTTAAATATATTTATTTTAATAATTTCCATTTAATTTTATAATTTTAATATTTATAGATTTTTCTATTTAAATTATTTTTCGAATATAAAAAATTAAATTTCGAATTTATTTTTCATTTCATTAATTTATTCTTAAAACTACCTCTTTATTTAAATAATACATTCCTATTTTTCCTAAACTATTTTAAACAATTTTTTTGATTTATTTTTCCTTTCCTTTGACTTCTCACTTACTTAAGTAATTTTTCTAGATAAACTTTAATTTTAACTTAATAATTCTACATTTTTTAATAATAACTCTCCATTAAAATCAGTTAATTATAATATATTATCTCTATAATTTATCATTTTTCCTAATTAACTATTATTACATTCACTGGTTTAAGGTTAATATTTTTATTATACATTAAATGAATTTGGCCTTTTTCTTAAAGTCTAAGATAATGATTCTCTTTAACTTTGAAACCTAAACATCATTTATTTATAGTTTGTATTTATATTATTCATAGCTTTTTTAGATGATTAAGGTGATTTGTAATGCATTGTTTATTTTTCAGAGGACTTTTAAAATTGTGAATTTTTTATAGATGAAGATGAAAGATATATTTTTGAATTTTAATTAATAAATTAACTAGGAAAATACATTTTTTTTTCTTATATATTATAAAAATATAAAAAAAAATAAAAAAATATTATTATATATATATTTTTATATTATTATTATTATTATTATTATTATTATTATTATTATTAATATAATATTTTTAATATTTTTTAATATTTTTTTTTATTATAATAATTTTTAAAATATTATATAAATTAAAATAATTTATTTTTATAAACAAATATTTAATTTATTTTTATATTTTTTTTATAATGATATAAATATAAAAAATTATTATCATTTAAAATAAGTCTAGTATTTTTAACTTTTAATTAATAATTACATATTTTTTTATTTAATTTTTTTTATTACAATAAATAAAATTTTATTTATATTAAAAACAAATAGAAAAATTTAATTTAATACATATTAATAATCGTATAATTTTTCAAAATTTTTTATAAGAAAATGATAAAAAGATAATCTGCCGCATTAGTTTAAAGAAACTCTTTAAATTTAATTTAAATAGAACAAAATTCTGTTAAAAATAATTTATTGAAATAAATCTAATGTATAAAAGAAAAAAACCGCAAAGGAATTTTAGTTGAACTATTTAAGAATTTCTCTTTATGTACTAAAAAAAAACGCTCTAAAAGCAAAAAAACATTAATTTAAAATCCTTAAGATACCCAGCGGCGTAATGGAGTAATATTAGGAACACCAAAAACCAAAAAAATTGCAAAAACAAACATATAAAACAAGCAAAGATAAAAACTAGATAAATTAATTAGTTTTATAAGTGACTTAGATAGCGAAAAATTGCTCGAAAAATGCTACAGGCATTTTAAAGATGCTTTATTATACCGTACAGTGAGAAATGACTTAGATTTAGAATAAAGTACATACTAAAAGTTTGTTCTTTTTGTATACAAAATACAAAATTCGAAAATGTGGAATGAATTTTTACTATTTGTAAGCTGGATTTATATTATGTTGAGTTTTTTTGAACCAGTAAATAGAATAGATAAAAGTTTAGATATAAAAAATTTCTATATAATGCTCAGTATAGAGATTTTCATAATTTCTCTGTAAACACTTGATTTTTGTATGGAAATTATCTAAAGAAAATCTTAATTTGGATCTGATATTAGTTTTTTTTAGGTTTTTTTTAACAAAAAAAAAACATTTTTTAGATGCTTATTTTTCGTAATTTTATTCAGTGATTTGTTATATTATTATTGTTAATATCCATTAAATGTTATTAGATTTGGAAGGGTATTTAGACCTTTATAGATTATTATTTATTCAAAACCTTTAAGAAGAAATTTTTAGGGAATTGTAAATTCGGCGAAAAATTTACTTATTGTTTTTATTTTTTATCTTATTGTCATACTTATTTGGGCTTATATTGGATATAATGTTATAGGAGAAGTAAATGAATATACAGATAGTATTTAAATAAATAAAATAAAAAAAATATAATAAAATAAATATTTTATAAAAATATAATATTATAAATATAATTATATAAAATATATATATATATATATTTATATATATATATTTGATTTTAAAAATTATATATATTTTATTTAATATTATTAAAGAATATGCTATTGATTATACAGATTTATGGAAAACTGTTAATATTTTATATGTAGTGAGTACATTTGATTAAATTCCAGATGTAATGTTACCTTTATTATTGTAGTCTAGATTATATTTACTTTATTATATTCCATATATATGTAAATAAAATAAAAAAATTATATATAAATTTAATATATAGTAATTTTTATGCTTTTATTTTTCCAATTCCTGTTGCAGTAGTTCTCGAAGAATTTAGAAAACATAGACTAAATTTATTTATATGTAAAAAAAAGATATAAAAATAAATACAATATAATTATATATTAAATATTTAAAAATTAATATAAATATATATTATTTATATATGTACATATATAAATAAATATATATAATTATATATATAAATTTATATTTATATATATATATTTATCTTCTTTTTATATTTTTTATTTTTATTATTTTTAAAACTTAATTATTAAAATGTCTATTAGATATTTTTTTCTTTTTTTTTTAGATATGATTTTATAAAAAAAAAATCATAAATAAAAACTAATATATTTTTATAAATATAGCAGATAGAATAAAAAGAAGAAGTGCTTTAATGGCATGTTTTTAATGTTTAGTCAGTTAATAAAGAGAATATTAATAGTATATTTTAAAAGAGGATTTTATATATTTCTTTTTCTATGTATATTCTTAAATTGAAGTAGAAGAATAAGCATAAATTTTAGCTGCTAATTTATGGAATCAAATAGACTAAGATAAAATAAACAAAATAAATATTGATTAATTTTTCAATGTAGTTGATATAACAGAATAGATAAGAGAATTTAGATTATATAGAATAAAACCTTTTAAATTTTGGGTAAAATTTTAGAAGTATGTTTTAGAAAAAACTAAATTAAAAATCTATACAGAAAATCCTTTATTTGATATATTTATTTTTATTTTAACAGCTATAAGTTGTATCATTATTACAATAGGTTTATTTGTTTAGGATGAAAAAACAATATAATATTTAGATATTGTAGATGATATTATTTTATTTTTATTTACTATTGAAATTATTATAAAAGTAATAGTCTATGGACCTTCTGATTATTTTTATGATGGATGGAATAAATTAAATTTATTTTTGGTGATATTTTAGGTATTATAATAAATTTTAATATATATATAAAAACGCATTGAAATATTTAAAACACAATATAAAAATAAAAATATTCAAATATAAATTAATAACATTATATTTTAAAAATAATTTAAAAAAGTATTGACATTTTAATTTGACTAAATTAATATTATAAATGATCCTAAATTAATAATCAAATTAACATATGATTATATTTTGAAATAAAATATAATTCTTGTAAAAATTTAAAAACTATAATAATATCTCATAATATGTTATATATATATATAAACATATATATATATATATATATATATATAATATTTAATAATTATTATTATTATTATTAAAAGATTTTCTAACAACTTTTAAAAATCTATTAGTTATAAATTTTTTACTAATTTTTTATAAGTTTATCCTTTTATTTTATAAAACAATTAATTTTATATAATTTAATTAATGTTTTTCAAAATTTTATAAGAATTATATTATTTTTAAATTAGTTAAATAAAATATTAAGAAAATAAATTAATAATTCAGATTATTAAATGAATAAAAATAAATAATATAATTTTTTTATGATCGAATATTAAATTGTGATAAGGATATTAAAGATTAAAGAATGAAAGAATTAATTAGTAATCTGAAATAGTGCACATATACATTTATAAATTATATATTTTTATTTATATATTTATAAAAAAGATAATTTTAATGCTTTAAAATTTATTTTTAGTATTTTTTATTATGGAAATTAATAATATATACTGAAAAAAAAATTATTATTATATTTTTTATTTAATATATTTTTATATTATTTTTATAAAAATTTAAAATTTATATAATAAAAAATCTTGATATAATTTTTATAATAAAATTATTAATTATTATATTAGTAATAATTTATTTTATATTTTATTTAATTATTTTATTATATTTTTAATATTTAAAGATTTTTAAATATTATTAAAATATATACGTGTATATATATAATCAAATAAAAATGTATATATAAATATAAATAAATATGTATATTTATAAATAAATATATATATATATATTTTTATTTTATATATAAATTTTAAATATATTTATATA